TCTATATCTTTATGACTACCCCCCAACCCCTGTACCTATAATCACCCAGATCAGGTTATAGAACATTGCTGTTACCTGGGGAGGTTTCCTTCCAGTCATCATCATACCTGTTCCCCAAGATGAAATCACTGTTCTGAATTCTGTCACCATAGATGACTTGGACTAGTGTTTGAACATGGTATCAGTGGACTCATACTGTTAGTAGTTTGTGTCTGGATTCTTTCTTTCATTATTTCAAATATAAATAATTTATTCTCGTAGATGGACATTTGAGTTTTTTGTTGTAAAGCTTGGCCGTTAAGAATAAAACAGCATTCTTGAATGTGTCTTTTGATGGACATCTGCACTCATTTCTCTTGGATGTATGCATAGAGGTAGAATTGCTAGGTCATGCAGCAGGTGAGGTATATGTTTAGTTTTAGTAGATAACGTCAAAATGGTGTTATCAGTTCTGTTTCTAGCAGTGTATGAGAGTTCCACTAGCTCCGCATTCTTGCCAGTACTTGGTATTAGTGGTCTTCGGAATGCTGTCCATTTAATGGGTGTTTGTTCTATTTCATTGTGGTTTCATTTGCATTTCCTTGAAGAGACATCATGTTGGGCCCTGTTTCTTATGTTTGTTGGCCATTTGTGTGTCCTTCATGAAGCACCTATTCATGTCTTTTATCCATTTTATTAATTAGGTTCATTTTTTTCTTATTTGTTGGCATTCTTTACATATTCTGGTTAAGAGTCTCACTGGAGATATAAACTACAACGTCTTCTCTTTCTCTGTAGTTTGCCTTTTCACTCTTTTAATGGTACCTTTTTATGAATGAAAATTATTCATTTTGGTGAAGCCTAATTTCCTTATATTTTTTCTTTATGATTACTGCTTTCTTTCAAATTTTATTTTTTTAAAGATTTTACTTATTTGTCTGAGAGAGAGCATGGGTGGGGGGAGGAGCAGTGGGAGAGGGGGAAGCAGACTCTCCACTGAGCAGGGAGCCTGATCTCAGGACCCTGAGCTGAAGGCAGATGCTTAACAGACTGAGCCACTCAGGCGCCCCCATGATTAGTGTTTTTTTAAAAAACTCATCACCTTTCCATGTCTTGAGTATTTTGAGGCAGAAAAAATGTGGAGAACCACTGCTGTAGAAAGTGAGCCATAGTCACACTGGACATCATCATATTCTTTTTTGGATTGGCTGTTTGAATGGTGTTCTGGTTGTGATCATATTTATGAAACACTTTAGGCTTTACAGAGCCCTTTATTGTTTGATCTTATTTGATACCATGCAGGAACTCTCTGTGGTAGTTAGAGGAGGGCCTGGTCCTTTTTGATGGCAGAGAACTTGGGTGTTCAATATCTGCTCTCTGTGGACTAGGGCACCTTCACATTTGCTGTGGTCTTGTTTGCAAGGATGAAGCAATAGACTGCTGGGTTGAGATCCTGGCTCTGTGACTGTGGACAAGGTACTTAACCTAGTTGAGCCTTGTTTTTTTTGTTATCTGCCCAATGGGATAATGAGAGTGTACCTACCTCATGATGTAGTTGTCAGGATTAAATGAATTAATTTATATATAGTGCTTAGCACAGTATCTGACATACCCTCCTAGGTTATTATTATTATAGTTTTTATTCCATTATGATGTTTGATAGTATCATGATTCTTTGTAGAGCTGGAGAGAGCTCATTTACTCCAGTTCTCTTTCATTGTTTTATATTTTCCCTTTTTCATTGCACACCCCCCTCTGGAGAGTTCTGTTTCTCTTTCCTCCTCTCCATTTTTGTTATGAAAAGCTAGATGCATTTAAAACATGAACTAAGCTGGGGCGCCTGGGTGGCTCAGTTGGTTAAGCGACTGCCTTCGGCTCAGGTCATGATCCTGGAGTCCCGGGATCGAGTCCCGCATCGGGCTC